GACTGAAAAGCGACATAATAAATATATCAAGACACTATGATCTGATCGTGGTGGGGAGCACCTCTCAGAGGAATTCATTAATTATTTATCAGAATATGGAATTACATCTCAATTATCTGCACCTGGAACTCCACAACAAAATGGTGTAGCTGAAAGAAGAAATAGGACTCTTATGTAAATGGTTAGATCAATGATGAGTTATTCCAGTTTGCCTTCGTCCTTTTAGGGACATGCCTTAGAAACAGCGAATTACATTCTGAATTTAGTTCCTTCAAAGTCATTACCTTTGACCCCTACAGAATTGTGGACTGGTCGCAAGCCTAATCTGTGGCATATTCGAGTTTGGGGTTGTTCGACACATGTGCTAAAAGGGAAAATGGATAAATTGGAGGCGAGAATGGATGTATGCGTGTTTGTAGGTTATCCAAAAGGGACGAAAGGTGGTTTATTCAATTTTCCTAAAGAAAAGAAGGTAATGGTTAGCACAAATGCCAAGATTCTACTATTTGATGAACCATGTTCCTAGAAGCAAGCTCGTTTTACAGGAACATAGCAAAGGAATGGAAACTCAGTCATCTGAAAAACAAAACAGACCAAATGCAAACCCGGAAGTCGATTTTGACATACCATTGCAATTTAGTAGTGGGAGAAAAGTCAATAGACTTGATGTCACGCAAGAAAATATGCTCGAAGTCATACTAACGCAAAGTAGTGGGAGTTATGTTGAGCAGACAGCACAACAGGAAGAAGTCGTTGATACCCCTGTGGATAGCATAGAGAGTGAGGTTCCTGATAATGATGTGGTTCAACCACAAAATCATAATGGTGTAGTTGCAACTGATGTAGTGCGTATTCGTGGTGGGAGAGAAATAAGACAGTGAGTTCGTTATACGCTCCAGGGAGAATCATACGATAGGATCCCTGAGGAGCCTACTTCCGAACCTGTCAATTACGACCAAGCACTACATGATAAAGATGCTGATAAATGGGTTGCTGCTATGAAATCAGAGATGGGGTCTATGTACTCTAATCAAGTATGGGATCTTGTAGAACCACCTGATGGGGTTAAAACCATTGAATGCAAGTGGATCTATAAGAAAAGGAGAGGTGTAGACGGAAAAGTGCAAACTTTTAAAGCAAGGCTTGTAACGAAAGGGTTTACTTAGAAAGAAGGGATCGATTATAAGTAAACCTTCTCGCCGGTAGCCATGCTTAAGTCTATTAGGATTCTCTTATCCATTGCTGTTCAATATGATTATGAGATTTGGCAAATGGATGTCAAGACAGCTTTCCTTAATGAAAGTCTTGATGAGTGCATCTATATGATGCAACCAGACAGTTTCGTGGAATGTGGCAAGGAACTCATGTTGTGTAAGCTTAAAAGGTCCATTTATGGACTGAAACATGCATCTAGAGCATGGAACACGTGTTTTGACAAGGAGATTAAAACTTTTGGTTTGATAAGTGTCTTAACGAGTCTTGTGTATACAAAAAGTGGGATGGGAAAAAGTGGCGTTTTTAATCTTATATGTAGATGACATATTGCTCGTAGGAAATAATGTGGCCATGTTGGGTTCAGTTAAACAGTGGTTGTCCACACACTTCGATATGAAAGATTTGGGAGAAGTGGCTCATATCCTTGGGATCAAGCTCTTGCGAGATCGCAATAAAAGGATATTAGGCTTATCCCAGGCTCTTTATATTGATACAATACTCTCCAGGTTTAGCATGCATGATTCCAAGAAAGGATTTCTCCCTTTCAGGCATGGAATTTCTCTATCTAAAGACCAGTCTCCTAAAACTGATGAAGAGATAGAAAAGATGAAGGCGGTCCCATATACATCTGCTGTGGGGAGTCTGATGTATGCTATGTTATGTACTAGACCTGATATCTGCTTTGCCATTGGCATTTTAGCAGATTTCAGTCTAATTCTGGGAGAGAGCACTGGACAGCGGTTAAGCATATAATCAAGTACCTGAAAAGGACTAGGGATTACATGCTAGTCTACCATTCGGATGACCTTGTGCCTATTGGGTACACTAATTTAGATTTCCACTCAGATAAAGATTCTAGAAAGTCTACCTCAAGAAATGTGTTTACTCTGGGAGGTGGAGCCATAAGTTCGAGGAGTATCAAGCAAACTTGTGTTGCTGATTACACCATGGAAGCCGAATATGTGGATGCCTCTGAGGCAGCCAAAGAGGCGGTTTGGCTCGGGAACTTCCTAAGAGAGTTGGGTGTGGTTCCCTCAATTCAAGCACCAATAATTTATTGTGATAATAGTGGTCGGTTGCAAATTCGAAGGAGCCATGAAGCCATAAAAGAGCAAAGCACATTGAGCGTAAATATCATTTAATTCTTGAGATAGTGCAAAGAGGGGATGTAGTACTCACCAAGATTGCATCAAAGAACAACTTGGTGGACCCGTTTACTAAGAGCTTGCCACAGAGGACTTTTGATAGGCATGTAGATGGAATGGGTATCAGAATTGTAGACGCATGGTTATTGTTATAGTATTCTTTATGGAATAATTATTTATTTATTTACTCAATTGAATAAAGTTTTATTTTAAATATGTTATGTATTTGTCTGTTTCAATGTTGCTTATATAGTAGATGATTTAAAGTATATAGTTTAGCTTATACACGAAAGATTAAATCATCGGTTCTTATAAGTCATAAAGTTTATGTTCACAATCTAATGATGGAATTGGACAAACCATCGGAATGGTTGTAGCACAAGATTAAATGTAATTTATCTTGATTATGGGAATGGTTTGATTCCAACTTCTTGTACTAGTACATTTTGTATGTATTAAACAGATCAAGTAGTGATAAGTATTTTATACTGACTTAATAAAATAATTTCTCTAGTTCATTCAATGTACTTATACTCTTAATCTTGATACTATTATTATTAGTTGGGTGTGTCATTTATTATTTTGATTTATTAAAAGGAGAGATTCTTTCGTGGGTCAATAAGCCTGGTAAATTGGACAATAATGATATACATTGGCGAAGAAATAATTAGTTGATAGAATCCATGTCTCGCTTTTTGAGATTGATGATACTCGTTTATGAAAGCTTATAAGTTTTCATGTGTAAACCCGGCCGGTGGATTTTGTATCCGACACATGAAATAAGTTAAGCGAAAATCTAAAGGAAGTAATCAATAAATTAAATTGTTGGTAATTTAATTTTATTGTATCCAGCCTCATTTGTTTGCACTTAATGGAGGTCTGAATCTTAATCATTCAGATCTCAGACATTAAGTGTGTGTGTTTTTAAAGTCTTAATCTTAATTATTCAGATCTTAATCATTAAGTGTGTTTGTTTTTATTACTTTACAACCACCTAATAGGTCAGAATAGGTCTGTATGATTAAGATCTATAACAGAGACTTAATTTCATTAAGATGCTATCACATATTCATTATTAACTGTCGCCACGGCCTACCATTATCAACTCCCACCATGCCACAACCACCACCGCCACTGCCACCCCCACCCCCACCACCTCCACCACCACTACCACCCCACCACCACCACCACCACAACCACCACCACCACGCCACCATCATCCTCAATCATAGCCTCCATTATCGACCATCACCACCTACTATCCCCACCACTCCGACCACCATCATTCTCACCCACAATAAACACTCATCCGCATCAACTACCACAACTGACCACCCCATCACCATCAAGAACCACAGCCGGCACTGCCCATCATTTTAACCTATCACCACCCGACATTATTAACTATCACCACCCACCACCACTGTCCTCAATCATAATCGTCACCACTACCAATCACTACTAGCTACTAGCATGAACCACCATCATCAACCAAAACTACCACCAACCATCGCCTTTAGTCGTCATTCACCCGTTAGTCATCACCACCAACAACTATCATATTTTAAAAAACTACATATTTTATTGATAGAATATTAGATTAGTTAATATTTCATTTGAATTTTATGTTTATTAATTTCCAAATTAAAATAAATTTTATACATCAGATGTTAAAAATCAAACAGTCTTAATTATTTCTATTTAGATCTTAATACACATCTTAATATATTCAGATGTGTTTTCAGGTTCAGATGTGTTAATCTTAATAGACATCTTGATATTCAGATGCGTATTCAGATTCAGACGTCTTAATCTTAAAAAAACAAATGAGGCCTTTAAATAAGGTTTTATGGAAGAATTTCGAAATTGAACTAAGGAGTGCAATTACAAATTTTTAGTGAAATAATTCGTAATTTATTATGGTAGAAATTAATTTCAAAATTTTGAAATTAAATCCATAATAGGAAGCCTTGTTAATTAAATTTTGTGGTCCCTATTGTGCCTAAATAATAGGAAATAAAGAAAATCATTCCTTAGTGGAAGAAGAAAACTTAACAGGTTTTGGAAAAGGGTCTTAACCAAAAAAGTGTGGCTATATATACTCTATATAGGGCTGGCCGTTTTTTGCACTGGTTTTTACACATTTTCCTCCTTGGAATTTTGCCCACCCGAAATTCCCCCTTTTCGGATATTATTTGGATAATACGGTAGAAGACTGTGGAGGTTTTGTTGAGATCGCGGTCTTGCAACTCTGGAACTGGAGACTGAGATTAATCTGCTTTGTTCACGCATCAAGAGGTAACTCGAATAATCTCCGTATGTGCTAATTTTTTAATTTACACATGAATATTATACTCTAATTGCTTCCACTGTGATATATACTCCAATATTAAGATGGTTGAGTAGTGGCGTGCCTAGTTCCATGATAAGCGCCATCACGACGGTTGATTTTGGATTGTGACAAATACACGAAGATGCTCATTTCTATTAGTTTCTTTTATAACTGTTATTGTATAACATTATTAGCACATCAAGAAGCGAAATAGGAGAAAAAGAACAATCCGGAGCTAGAAGACTCTCTATTTGTGGTTGATATTTATTATCAAAACTCCTAAAGTTGCTACCTATAGTCATTAAATTTTACACCCAAATGGCATTAGCCCTAATGAGTAATTGTTTCAGCTTGCTTCTCACATTAAGGCTCATGATTTTGTTAGAACCACCAATAAATTCATTCCCTATAAAAACTGCACGCACACTTGGCTGACATCCTAGTTTAATTAGTGCCTTCTCCAATTGCTTCCCACTTGGATATTTATCGAGCTCGTAAACAATAGGGTGTGCTCCAAAACTACGGATTAGGGTTTCGATGCTACGAGAAATGCAACAACTACTCTTGCTGAAAATCACCACTGGACTTGCTGCTCCCAACTTCATCACCATATCCATATTGTTTATATGTTCAAGAAATAATGTGTTTAATTATTGGAAAAATGCCAAGAATTTGTATAGCTTTTGGTGAAGAGAGGAAATTAAAGAAGTTGTGAAGGCTACAAGAAGTAATGAAGGTTTGTGAAGTGAATTTCAAGCTTGATTTGTTGTGAGAAACGAAAACCTATAATGGAGCTATATATAGAGGCATTAGTGCAGTGATATGTTAGTTTTTTTTGTAAAGGGTGAAAATTGCTAGAAGAATTACAAGTTGGTGAATATTTTCTAGATTTTTCTCGATCACTTGTATGATAAGGGAAAGTATGCCTTATCTACCTGGATTCTAAAGTAGCATAACATACTCAAGCAGAATAGGAGAAGAATATAATCATCACTTTGAAATATTCGCAGAACATATGTCACCAGCTAAAGTCCTCTTTGATTGTTACTCGATTTTTGGTCCTGTTTCTTTCTTAGTTATTTTGAGGGGAGCCTTGGCATAACTGGTAAAATTAATGTCATGTGACGAGTAGGATACGGGTTCGAGCCGTGAAAACTGTTAGTAATCTGTATTTGTAAAACAGTTCTGGAGAAAATAAAATAACATAAACAGAAATGTAAACGAAATAAAAAAACAATTCGAGCCTAGCCGAGCAAGCGACGACGACGACGACGGTGCGAGGCTTGTCTTCTTCTCAACACTTTATGAGATAGAAGAAGAGCAATTGCTTATATACCCATCAAAAACCTTTTCCTCTTCCCATATGGGACAATCAAGGAGGGAAACTCAAATATTACTCAAATATTTCATTTTTCCCTATATTTTCCATTCACCCTATTTTAAGCATTAATAACTTAAAAACCTAACAATCCCCCACATGAATGGGGAATGGCTGTATCACGGATGTATGCATGAAAAACCGTGTGATTCGCAAGCAAGGATTAATTGCATCTGGATAAGTAGGTTTCTCTTTGAACTTTCCGTAGTAAACTTATGTCGGATATACTCGATCAATCGGTAGATTTGATATCTTTGAACCGTCGAACTTTGGTGTATACCTAGACAACCACAAGTCACACAACCAACCCTTAACCGTCTTTGGTTCTCATTGTTTTGTTCGTTTCAGCCATGAACATCGCCTGGTTTCATAAGTGCATAGAGAACTGGCCTTGCAAAATTCTCCTTGAAGCGGCTAACACTTCACACTTACATAGGTGATTCCTAAACGTGTCATCCCGTAGATACACTATTTGATATACCCCGTATCAAATTTAGAAATTATTAAAAAGCTTTAATGCTTTATCCTTGGTACTGAACATTGTCTCATCACGAGAATAGACCAAAAGTTTAGTTGACAATGTTGAACCGTCATTAATGACTTTGTTTGATCTCCTTGAACCTAGATCTTGAGATCTCCAGTCTTCTAGGTAGAGTTACCACCACTATGACTTATTCTTGGCCATAGTCTCATTCCCCTTGTTGATTTCTCAACGACCTCTCTAGTTAGGCCTTTTGTAAGTGGATCCGACACATTATCACTTGACTTTACATAGTCAATCGTGATAATTCCTCTAGAGAGTAATTGTCTAACAGTTATATGTCTTCGTTGTATATGACGAGATTTACCGTTATACATAACGTTCCCAACCCTTCCAATTGCCGCTTGACTATCGCAATGTATGTATATTGGTGCCAACGGCTTGGGCCAAAATGGAATATCTTCCAAGAAATTTCGGAGCCATTCAGCTTTTTCACCGGCTTTATCCAACGCTATGAACTCAGCTCCATTGTAGAGCGGGCAATACAAGTTTGTTTGGACGACTACCAAGATACCGCTCCTCCACCAATAGTGAATACATATCCACTTGTGGACTTGGAATCAGTTGATCCGGTGATCCAATTTGCATCACTGTATCCCTCAATGTCTGCAGGATATTTACTGTAGTGCAAAGCAAAGTCCTGGGTATGTACTAAATACCCCAAAACTCGTTTCATGGCCATCCAATGAGATTGACCTGGATTGCTCGTATATCGACTCAATTTACTTATAGCACAAGCTATATCTGGTTGTGTACAATTCATGATGTACATTAAGCAACCCAACACACGAGCATAATCCAATTGTGATATGCTTTGGCCTTTGTTCTTTGCTAATGCAAAATTCACGTCAATTGGAGTCTTTGCAACTTTAAAGCCCAAGTGCTTGAATTTTTCAAGTACTGTCTTAATATAATGAGATTGTGAAAGTGCCAGACCTTGAGAAGTCTTATGGATCTTAATTCCCAGAATTAAATCAGCAACTCCCATTGTTTGGGTGCTTGTAAGGGACTTAACAAGTCTACATACCTTCTTTTCTTTACCTGGAACCACAAACCCTTCAGGCTGTTCCATGTAGATTTCTTCCTCCAACTCTCCATTTATGAAGGCCGTCTTAACATCCATTTGATGAATATCAAGACCATAAACTGCAGCTAACGCTACTAACGTTCGTATGGACGTAATTCTTGTAACTGGAGAGTATGTATCGAAATAGTCAAGACCTTCTCGTTGTCTATACCCTTTGACCACAAGTCTTGCCTTAAATTTTTCAATAGTGCCATCATCTTTCATTTTCCTCTTAAAGATCCATTTAGAACCCAATGGTTTATTTCCAGGAGGAAGATCAACCAATTCCCATGTATGGTTGTTCAGTATGATTCTATTTCACTATTGATTGCCTCTTTCCAAAAGAATGATTCCGAAGAAGACATAGCTTCTTTAAATGTTTGATGCTCATTTTCCAATAACATAGTCACAAAATCTGGTCCAAATGAAGTAGACATTCTTTGACATTTACTACGTCTTGGATCCTCCTAATTAAGTGTACTTTCTTTTGTTTCTTCCCGAGGTCGTTTAGATCCTTCACCAATCGACTCACATTCCTTTTTATATGGATATATATTTTCAAAGAACTCAGCATTATCTGATTCTATAACTGTATTATTATGAATGTCGGAATTTTCTGATTTATGAACCAGAAATCGACATTCTTTACTATTAGTCGCATATCCTATGAAAACACAATCAACGGTTTCCGGTCCTATTTTTACCCTTTTGGGTTTAGGAACTTGCACTTTTGCCAAACACCCCCACACTTTAAAATAATTCAAGTTGGGCTTCCTTCCTTTCCATTTTTCATATGGAATGGATTGTGTTTTGCTATGGGTCACTCGATTTAATATTCGATTAGTCGTAAGAACGGCTTCCCCCCACAATTTCTGTGGCAAACCAGAACTTATCAACATTGAGTTCATCATCTCCTTTAATGTACGATTCTTTCTTTTCGCAATCTCATTGGAATGGGGCGTGTAAGGGGCCGTTGCTTGATAAATAATTTCATATTCTAAACATGTTTCTTCAAAAGGAGATTCATATTCACCACCCCTATCACTTCTTATCATTTTGATTTTCTTGTTAAGTTGCGTTTCAACATCATTTTTGTATTGCTTAAATGTGTCTATTGCTTCATCTTTAGTATTAAGTAAGTAAACATAGCAATATCGAGTACTATCGTCAATAAAGGTTATGAAATACTTCTTTCCACCAGATGGTATTGACTTCATGTCACAAATATCTGTGTGAATTAAGTGTAAAGGATTTGAATTCCTTTCAACTGACTTATAAGGTTGTTTAACATACTTTGATTCCACACATACTTGACATTTTGATTTGTCGCATTCAAACTTAGGAAATACTTCCAAATTAATCATTTTCCGCAAGGTTTTATAATTGACATGACCCAAACGTATATGCCATAATTCATTTGACTCAAGTAAGTAAGACGAAGCTGAAATTTCATTATTATTTTCAACAACCATTACATTCAGCTTGAAAAGGCCCTCGGTGAGGTAACCTTTTCCTACAAACATCTCGTTCTTATTTATTACAACCTTATCGGATACAAATACACATTTAAAACCATTCTTAACAAGAAGTCCAACAGAGACTAAATTCTTCCTAATCTCGGCAACATAAAGGGCGTTGTTCAAAGTCACCACTTTGCCGGAAGTCATTTTGAGAAATATCTTCCCACATCCTTCAATCTTGCCCTTTGCAGCATTTCCCATAGAAAGCATCTCATCGGGTCCAACAGGAGCATAAGTAGGAAAAGCTTCTCTAACACCACAAACATGGCGAGTGGCTCCAGAATCAATCCACCACTCTTTAGGATTGCCCACCAAGTTGCATTCGGAAAGCATGGCACACAAGTCATCAACATCATCATGCTTTTCAACCATGTTTGCTTGACCCTTCTTCTTGTCTTTCTTCGGAGCACGACACTCCGTAGATTTGTGTCTGGCTTTTCCACAGTTGTAGCAATTTCCACTGAACCACTTCTTGCTTGGGTTGTATATCGGTCCAGAAGCCTTCTTCCTCTTTTTGTTCTCTTCAACAATATTTGCTCCCATTATTGTTGAGTTTTCACGGCCTCTCTTGTCAGCAGCTTTATTGTCCTCTTAGATTCTCAACCGAACAATGAGAACTTCAAGGGACATCTCCTTGCGTTTGTGTTTCAAATAATTTTTGAAGTCCTTCCACAACGGAGGCAACTTCTCAATCATCGCTGCTACTTGGAATGCTTCATTGATGACAAGACCTTCAATGAAAATTCTGTTAGTAAACATAATAAAATTAATACTACCAACACTAGTATTAATTCTACTTATACCTTCAGCAAGGAGATTGAGAATAATCACTTGCAATTCCTGGACTTGGGTAATAACAGTTTTGTATTTCTTTTAAAGCGCAATCCTTAGTTCTTTTGACGTTTCCACGCCACTGTAGACGTTATACAAAGCATCCTCCAGCCCGCTAAGAATATAATTCTTGCACAAAAAATCTGAATGCTTCCACGCCTCAATCACGAGAAAGCGTTCAGTCTCTGGAGTTTCATCGGACAGCACAGGAAAATCTTCCTTGATGAACTTCTGGAGACTTAGAGTAGTCAAGTAGAAGAACATCTTTTGCTGCCAGCGCT